TTCTATTCATGGAGCCTGAACTCATGCCACCACCACCACCATGCCTGACTTTTCTGTCATCACTCGGTACAATGATTTCTAAATATAGATGTCTTTGATTTCAGCAAAACACTTAAGCTTCTTTAAACTTAATAGTCAATCTCTTTCATCTGAGAAGAACATCTGGCTTATGATTATTAGGCACAATTAGTTACCAAGCCAAGGTTGGCAAAACCTTTATAAAGAGAGAATTCAGAAACCAACTCTACAGTGGCTTCAAACTGATACTCAGTATATTACCAAATGCATCAATTTCTATAAACACAATTACACCCTGAGAAGACCTGGATGAAATCTCTGGGACTTAGTTCACCTTCTCAATACTAGGCTACTTGCATTGGTGTTAACTTTTCTCAAACACTGATGTAGAACCAGTGAATTTCACAATGTTAAATTCTAAAGAAATGTGAAGGGGCACTGGGACCACATTCTGAGGCGGGTTCCTCCATCGTCTACCATGCTCTTCATTCGACAGTCACCAAACCACATCTAGGCTCTCTCTCCAGAAAAATTAAAAGCAACAACATTTATTTTCTTTTTTAAAGGAAGCTGGCTCTGTTACAATGATGGAGAGAAGAATATACAGAAAAGTTAGTTTTACCTCTTATTTCTAAAAATCCAATAACAGAGAACACATCTCTGAGTTCCTATGGCTATGGCAGACTGTTTGGATATAATTACTTTACCCAAGGAGGAAGAAGAGTCTATTCTCCTGGCCCACTGATGTCAGTCTTGGTCTTAAAATGCTTTCAGCAACAGAATATGAATGGGACAATGACACCATAACTGAGCAGAAGCATCTTATGCGACTCTCTAATTGAGGTCTTTTCTCTCTTCCACTACTATGAAAACAGTCATGTCCCTGATCAGAGATGATTCAATCACCCTAGCCCACAAATTAGACACATAGAAAATGTGACCTAAACCAACTCACAGTCTGAAATGGAGGCCACACAACTGCACTGCAATTGCTAAGATAAAACATGAAAAAATCAATAAACATGTGCTGTTAAAAATACCAAGAATAAGGGGACTTTTGTGAAAGCTAATACACAACATTCCCTCTACCCATGTGAAACCTAAGGATGGACAGACTTGTTTTTTATATCCAGTAAAGTTATTAAGAGTATATTTATCTGCATTAGATCTGGAAGCTGTCAAATACTGAAAATACCTATTGGAATGGTTTCTTTGCAGAGGAGTTAACTGAAGCCCATGGGCACATCAGTGAGAGGCAAGATTATAAAGAATATTTCCAGCTCCTTTTACTATCAAATTATTGCAACGCTGCAAATTATACAACCAGGGACCTACAGTATAACATCTATCTGTTAGATGGGGGAAACTGTCACTTGCAAAACATACTAATACAGTATGAAGGTAAGTGGGAAGACTCTGACGTGATACCATTATGGCACTGAGCACTAAGTCCTAACATGACTACAAGACTGTAGGCAGCACCCTCAAAATATGCTACGGTAATCCAAAGCAAAACTAATAGACCAGTTTATACATCGTTTAACTCAGAGGGACAAAACCATATCCTAGACTGAACCTGGACTCACAGTGGTTTGTGGCATAGGCAGTGGTAACAGCAAGTCTATTAATCCTAAATTGGATCAAGGTGGTAGGACAAAGGAAGCAGACAGGATCAGAGAAACACAAGAAGGGTTCCAGTACTGTATAGGGAAAAGAGATGTAGATGCTGGAAGACATGGTGACTAGGACCTGAAGAAAATGAGTCCTTTTATGAGTAATGGTAGCCTAGGTACACTAGTCTCAAGACATCTACCTTACTGTATCCAAATATCATGCTCAAAAACTAGCTTTCTGATTATGATCAGTTTTTTGCCCAACTTCCAATGGGCAGACACTGAGAAGTGAACTCATACATAACTGACTTTTATTGAATTATTCAAACTGTAGTTGATTTACCTCACTGAATTAAGAATTCTGAAAACCTTCCAAGGAGGTTCCTTCACAATTTAAACCATATCTTTTGCTTTTAGAGTTGATAAATGTCAAGCATTAACTCTGTTGATTTGACCATTAAAATTACTAAGAAATAAATCTCTTTCCCAGTAAATGTGGACTACGTAGTAAAGCCTTTGCTGTACTCTGTAACTTTCTCACAAATTTAGTGGTTTTCCTTTGACAGACAAGAAGCATGAGCAGCCACTTACTCTTTCCAAGTTAGTGTTGATGGGGCAAATGGGAGCGACCAAGAAGTCTATTTCTATTCTTGTTCCTCAGCCAAGATGCTATTCTTAGGCAGATACCAAGAATACTCTCTCCAGGAATGCCTTGTGAAATAAGATGACACTGCTAGGGTTGAGATCAAAGGAGCTAAGGCATCATCTCTGGAGTCAGTGCTAACAGAAAGGTCTGAGTCACTCCCACTATTCTCTATGGCTTTTAATCAGCTCTATGTATGTCTCAAGCTTTGACCAGACATGTCTCTAGAGAATCATCTTAATTAGAATCATAAAAGCATCCAGATCCTCATCATTTCCTGAAGAACAAAAGCCCAGCACTGACAGCCCAAAGTGCTGATCCTGGTTTTCTCACATTTAAGTTTCTGAATACGTTTATTGTAGAGAAGAATCTATTTACTCCATAAACACAGGCCTCCACAGTGACCCAAATAATTCTGCATAAACTAGGCAGAAAAGTCCTAATTTCCCAAAACCAAAGTTTGAAATCAATGCCAGTGGTATTCCCTACCTTAATGTACCCTGGAAACCTGAGTAGCAAATTGTCGGGTGATTCAACTAATAAATGTCAAGAGAGTCAAGCTATCATTTTTATAGTTAAGAAGCTATAACAGTTTTAAAGCACCTCATTTAATATTTCAATGACTTTACAGAGTCCCATTTTTTGTTAAAGATAACAGATAAGGGGTTGGAGAGATGGCTCTGTAGTTAAGAGTACTGGTTGCTCTTACAGAGGATCTGGGTTCCTTTCTAGGCACCCATATGGCAGCTAACAACCATCTGCAACTCTAGTTCCAGGGGATTCAACACTCTCTTCTGGCCTCCAGAGGTATTGCATAACATGGGTACACTTATATACATGCAGACAAAATACTCAATACACAAAATTTAAAAAATAAATAAATCAAAAATTGTTTTTAATGATAATGAGAAACTACCTATGACATACAAGCTGAGGAAAGTATTGAACTGGAATTTAAACACAGGTTTCTATTACTCTAGTTCTTTGTTTTTTAAATAGTGGCACAAATATTATGAGAGTAACCAACCACTTTCTAATTGGATTTCAGGTCCACCTCATAGGAGCCCATACCTGACATAGTTATCAGGCCTATAACCCCGTGGCTAGATAGGTCACAGGCCAAAGGGGAGAACATACTACTGTCATTCTGCTAAATAGATATAGAATTAAACTGACTTCTTATGATTTATTGGTACCCATAGATAAACGCATCTCTTAGCTCTCACCAGAGAAGCTTCCTTATGCAGCAGATGGTGATTAACATAGAGACTCACAAATGGCCAACAGGCAGAGAATAAGAGGCTGCAGAGTGCTTATGCCTGAATAGGACACTTAAACTTCTGCCTCCCAAGGCTCACTGATCATTGAGGAAGAGGGGGTAGAAAGACTAAGAGCCAGAGGTGGTGGATGACCACAAGGAAACAGTTTTCCAGACAGCTGGGCAGTTACTCATACAAACTCAGCAATGATGACAGCATGCACAAGTCCCAATTAAGCTCAAGCCAGACAAAATCCAAACACAGAAGTAGAGAAGCGGGGAAGAAACCTCAACCCTATCTGAGGAACTACTGGCAATGATGGCTTCTGATAAGGGGAGAGATGGTCTCATTTAAGGGTGTGACTCCTTGTCAGGTTGACCAGGGCTCCAATGGATGGACCCACACTGAAGGGCATTTGGGGACACAAACCTAACTCTCTCTCTCTCTTTCTCCACACACACCCACACCTACATCCACATCCATAAAATAGAGTACATGAAAACATTACATTGGGCAAAGGTGTAAGGCAGAGTGCATATAAAGGAGAGATCTAAAATTGATCAAAATATATGAAATTTGCAAAAATTCAATAAAAAAATTTAAAACAATAATAGGTGAAAAACTACCAAAGTCATCCAAGATGAAGAAAGTATCGAATTTGGATTTAAACACAGGTCTTTCTTACTCCAATTCTTTTTTAAATAATGTTTTTACTGATTCTTTAGAACTTCATACAATATATGTTGATCATTTCCTCTCAGATCCAGCCCCACCTCCCTATCCAGGCCCACCTCCCTATCCAGCCCCACCTCCCTATCCAGGCCCACCTCCCTATCCAGGCCCACCTCCCCACCCAGGCCCGCCATCCCACCCAGGCCCACCGCCCCACCCAAGCCCACCTCCCTATCCAGGCCCACCTCCTTATCCACCCCACCTCACTATCCAGCCCCAACTCCCTATCCAGCCCCAACTCCCTATCCACCTCCACTCAGATCCCTACTATTTTTTAAGGACTATCTTTCTTGCATATTACATTACTGCTTAAAGAAAAATAAGAAAGCTACAAATCACATTTGGCTGAATATCATGAGTGAACCTCAATTTTGTAATAATTGACAATTAAATAATTCCTGCTTTAATATTTTAGTATCTCCCCTTGTACTATTTCTTCTAATTTCTAACTTCACATTATAAACTATTATTCAAGGAGCTAATAAAGCCCTTCACATACATCACTATACTTGGAATCATTACTGGCTAACAATCATTTGAGGTAGATATCATTACTCCCCTCTTTATACAGACTAGCAAGCTAAAGTTCAGACAGATGACCCAATTTGCCTACAGTTACTAAGCTTGGAAGCAGTGCAACTGGTCTCAAATCCCAGTCTCTCAAGCACTCCAGATACTTACGTAACTACACTAGCTGCAACAGTCTCATAATCGCACACTCAGCAAATTACTCACATAGTCAATGGGCTTGAGTGCTCGGACTCTAGATGTTGAGCAGCCACAAGAAGTAAGGTCAACATAGAGGCCTTCTTCTAACACACACTGATGATAGAATATATCTTCTTGGTAATACAGGAGCCAGCTATAAAGGAAGTGGCAAGACACTCAAATTACATTTAGTTGGCAAGGTCAACCCGTCACCATGCTATAGAAACCAGGGTATAGTGAGGACACAAAAGTTGTGGTGCTGCCCATCACTGGCTAGTAAACAGTGGCTGCTCTTGTTTACTTTCTGCTTATTATGTGCCAGGCATGAGTCTAAGAACCTCACATATATTATTTCACTGCATCCACAATAATTCTTTGAGTTAAAAACCTAAGTTCATTTTTATAGTCAACATACTATACTAAGAATTTTAAAAGGTAAGGTGATT